TCTGAGGAAAGAGCCTGTGTGGCTGCTCGGCGCAGAAACAGGGACGCAGTGAAAAACAAAACTGGTTTGTCTGAAAAGTCTCATTATGTACCAAGTAAACATACTTTCTGCTTAGTCTGATTCTGTGTTTGTGTGAAGTCCTCTGGGTAGATTCACCCAGCCTGCTCCATCTGTGTCTTCTTGTCTTTGGCTTTTAATTTGTTCACTGTGAATATTTACAGCAGACATTAATAAATTATAAAGAAAGTAGACGTTTCCTTCCACGTGTCCGGGAGACGTTTGTGTTTTTGGCAGCTGTGGAAAATTCATCATCCGTCTGGATGTGTGAGTCAATATTTCAATAAAGGTTTTTCACATAATTGATCAAATACAGGAAACGCCCATCCATATACAAATATGTTATTTTACACATGTTTACCAGGTGTGAACGACTTGTCACCCCAGCCGTGTGATTCCACCTGAGGTTGGGAAGCTTAACTCCTCCCCTCTCATAGGGCAGGTAAAGTAACGTTCCTGTTATTCCACATAAACAGCTCGTTTCTTATCACAGCACAAAGCTGGTGGTGAAATGTCTGGAAGGAGCATTCGTCCAATCAGAGATGAAGGTCAATTTGACCGTCGGTTTAATGTTTCCATGATGTTTAACAGGAGATCTTAAAAAATGATTTAATTTCTGGAGAATTTTGATGCCTACGTTCATGATGGGTCGAGTTGGAGTTATTCATTTTAAAAACTCTCCAGTATCTACAGGTGACCTCACCTGGGAATCGTTTCGTTATGTCTGTCCTGAAGAATAAATCTGAGGACGTGTCTCCTAACACTGCTGAGGCTCTGCTGCAGTGATGGAGCACAGCTCTGACTCATCGCTGTGAATCAAAGCTTCTGAAATGTTGTCGTTAGCTGAGATTTGTGTGTAATAGTTGGATCTGAGGAATGTTTGAGCTGATCCGAACCTCGGAAGCAGTTTAGATTCTGAATGCTGGATCTGTATTTAGAGCTCGCACTGCTGTGTATATCATCTAACATGTTTCGAAGTCTCCTGATATTACTGCTGGTCTTCAGAGAGCCTCGTCTTTGTGCAGGAGCTGCCCTCGGTCAGGCGTTGCTGTGGTTTTAGGGTCATTGTAGATAATCTCAGAGTTTCTATCTCCACACACATTGAACTTCTCTTTAAATACTTGCTGCCCGCATGGTCACCAATCACAGCCACGTTTTTACTCGTACTGTAACTTTATCGATATTTAACGGTCAACATGTGTGACTGTATGAACATCTGCATGTGTCCACTGCTGGCTGAAGGGTTAGAGGTGGGAATCACCACACGTCCCACGATACGATATTATTGCAATTTTTTTAAATATTTTGCGATATTCAGATTCTGTACATAAAGGTAAACTTTATCAATATTCATTTTCTCTAATATCAAAGTCTCACACTCAGTCTTTCT